CCCCAAAACCCCAAAACCCCAAAACCCCAAAACCCCTGCCTACATTCCAAGAATTGATGTGACGACTCATTTTAATCAATAAATGATTTAATCTTACTCTTACCGAGAGATTAGTTGTTCCTCTTCATTTCTTCCTTTCCAAGCTTGGCAAAGGAGCTGTTTTTCTTTCTCATGGATGCTCTGGCATCAAGTTCTTTCTCTCTTTCTTGCTTTCTCAACTCTTCATCTTTCTTGATTTCAATTTCGTACTTCTCCTTCTCTGATTGTTTATCCCAAAGAGTCTTGTATTCTCCTTCTTCCTCAAGGAGTCCATCATGAGTTCCTTGTTGGATAACCATACCGTTCTTAAGCACGATGATTTTGTCACAGTCTTTGATTGTGGACAATCTGTGGGCAATAATCAAGGTGGTTGAGTTCTGAGATGCATCATCTATAGCACCTTGGATTTCCTTCTCTGTGACAGTATCTAAGGCAGAAGTAGCTTCATCGAAAAGCATGATAGGACAAGATTTGAGCAAAGCCCTGGCAATGGCAACTCTTTGTTTTTCCCCTCCTGATAATTTTAGACCTCTTTCCCCTACGATTTCTTCGTATTCCTTATCTTTAGATTGTATAAAGTTGTAGATCTGAGCTTTCTTTGTTGCCACATCTAATTCCTCAATTAATCCTTCTCTCTCAGCTTCATCATCGATTCTTTTTCTAAAATCTGGATCTTTGACTCCTCCATATGCAACGTTGTATCTAATGGTATCGTTGAAAAGCACGCAATCTTGTGGAACAATAGCGATATTCGATCTGAGATCAACAGTTTTCATCTTTGAAATATCCTGGCCATCAATAAAGATTTGTCCATCAACTCAGTCATAGAATCTATACAGAAGTCTCATTATGGTACTCTTTCCTGAGCCTGTGGCTCCGACTAGGGCAACTTTTTTCTTGGCTGGAATTGTGAATGAGATATCATCAAGGATCATTTTTCCTTCTCTTTTATTATCATAGTTAAAGCAGACATCTTTAAATTCAATTTCTCCATCGCAGATCCTGCTACGTTCAGGCTCTTTAGCATCCATAATTCTTTCATCTGTGTCTAGTAGCTCGAAGATTTGCTCAACATCGACCATTGCTTGTCTGATGAATCTCCACATTGTTCCAAGGAAGTTTAGTGGAGCATAAATTTGAAGGATATAAGTATTGAGCATCACAAAATCTCCGATGATCAAGTTTCCATTAACAATCATATAATTAGCAAGAAGAAGATTCAACAAGAGTCCAGCATTTATCACGATATTCTGGGAGAGTCCGAGGACTACAAGAGATCTTGTTACTCTAATGTTCTCCTTCTTGTATACCTGCAGAGCTTTCATGTATCTCTCTTCTTCGTGCTTCTCAGCATTAAAGTACTTGACTGTTTCAAAGTTCAGCAAAGAATCTGTGGCTTTCTGGACATAATTGTTATCTGCAGTGTTCATTTTCTTGAAATATTTAGCTCTCCATTCTGTGACATAAAAGGTATCGACAATGTAGGCAAAAATACTCAGAACAACGAGAATGAAGAACCAGTATGGGAAGAAGAACCCGATTACAAGAACAACGAGAAGAAGTTCCAAAAATAGCGGCCCAATACTAAAAATAGTGTATTTAAGGATCTGTGAGAAAGATTGTGACCCACGAGAGCAGATTCGAATAATCTTTCCGGTTTCTCTTTTCAAGTGGAAAGCCAGTGACTGGTTTTGGATATGATTGTATACCTTATCAGCAATGTATACTTCAGCATTGGCTGAAACAGTAGCAAAACTAGACTCTCTTAAATTGTTAACAAGATCAGCTGAAAACTTTATCACAGCATAAATAATAACTAGGTGATAAATTTTCTCTCCAGCAATTAAAGAATCTATTAAGAACTTTAAAACAATAGGATGGATGACATTCAGCACTTTAGCAAGGACAATCATGAAGAAGGTCAGCACAACCAAGAATTTTGTCCAGCAGGATCCTGTCCAGAGTGATGGGAGTGTAAAGGAGAGAGCATAGCCTATACCTCGAGACTCCTGGGATCCATCTGCCCATGCATGATCTTTCTTGGAATCTTCCATTGGCTTTTCTTTCTTAGTTTCCTTCTGATCTAGAAGCGCTTCCTTCTGTTCTTCTTTAGTAAGGAGACTCTTCTTGAGATCTTTTGTTTTTCCTTTTTCCATAATTTAATTATATATCCAACTTCTACAGCAATATAGGGGTTTTGGGGTTTTGGGGTTTTGGGGTTTTGGGG